AATATACCATGGTGAACTGTCTCAGTTCAATCTATTGGATACAGTATAATGTATACATAACAATATATTATTTTTTAAGACATAAATGAACAGAAATTTAAAGCATGAAGAAATCTAGAAGAGGGGAAGGTGGACCCATTGCAACAATGAGATGTACAAGATGTTATGTCAAAAAACGAACTTTACAACTTTGGCACAGGCAGGCAAGGTGGGGGAGAGGACGGAGGAAAGGGGGAGATGGAAAGGAATATTAAGGGGAAACAAAGGAGGAGGCAACAATGCTTGATAAGAAATGTACTCATTACCTTGCTCGTGTAATTGTAATCCCTCTGTACGGTATTTAAAAAAAAAAAAAGCAATCTAGAAGATACCTGTTCATCTAAGTCATTTTCTAGGCCAAGAGCCAGGTCCAGAACAACGAGTAGCTTTAAAGACATCCAATTTGGAATGAGGATTCAATTTTTATTCACCTAGTTTAGTGTTTGGTTAAATTATTATATTGCTAGTCTTTTTTTTTTTTGAGGATCTAGGCCTTCATTAGTTCATAGGTAAACCCTTGTTTGATGATTTCAGGAAGTTCGTTTTGTATGATTGAGCACAAAGCATCCATCTCTTTGACTAAGTTATATAAATTATTTAGTAGAAAGCCATATTCTACATTTAGGTCAAAAGCCATCTTTTTTTTTTGGAGGGGGAGTCCGGTCGTGGGGCCAGAACTCTGGGCATGGGCGCTGTCTCTCAGCTCTTCAGCTCAAGGCTAGCGCTCTACCACTTGAGCCACAGCACCACTTCTGGCTTTTTTCTTTTTGCTTATGTGGTGTTGAGGAATCGAACCCAGGGCCTCATGCATGCAAGGCAAGCGCTCTACCACTGAGCCACCTTCCCAGCCCCTCAAAAGCCATCTTCTGTGTTAAGCTGGTCTCTCTGACTCAGGCTGACCTGATTGGGGGAGCAGCATGATGGCTGGAGGGAGTCCAGGCCCCTCCCCATGTGGTGAGTTTGCAGTGATATCCCACTCAGCAAAACCATTGTGCAACCAGTGACTTCCCAGCCCTGATGATTAAAGTTCCACATGACTCCATGTCACTTTTCAAGAAGCATGAACAGAATAACCGGTCTATATTCTCTTCTTAACATTTGTAACCAGCTTCCTTCTTTAAAAATAAGTCTTCATGATGTCAAGCATCATTAGCAAGATAGGCTGTGTTCTGTGATGGGATCTGAATTCAGTTCATTTATCCTTCCTTATTTCTCTGAAATCCTGAAGAGCATCATTTCAAAAAGAGCATATAGAATTATGAGGTTTGTTGCTTATCATGTGATACTAAACAGGTCTCATTAAACTCCAAATGACTCCAAGAGCATGACCTGTGTATGACACTCTGGTGATTAAATACAGGTTTGAAAATCTTCTGAGTCTTCCTTTCCCCCCACCCCTTTTTTGGTGCTGGTCTTGGGGCTTGAACTCAATCCCTGAGTTGTTGTTGTTGTTTTAACTCAAGGCTTGTACTCTGCCACTTGAGTGACAGCTCCACTGCTGGCTTTTTTGTTGTAGTTGGTGGTGGTGGTTAATCGAAGATAAGAGTCTCACAGACTCTCTTGTCTGGGCTGGCTTCAGACTACTATCCTCAGATCTTAGCCTTTTGAGTAGCTAGGATAACAGATGTAAGCCACCAGCGCCTGGCCCAAGCAAGCCTGCCTTTTAAGTTGTTCTTTTTTTTTTTTTTTTGGGTCCGGTCGTGGGTCCTGAACTCTGGGCCTGGGCGCTGTCCCTCAGCTCTTCAGTTCAAGGCTAGCGCTCTACCACTTGAGCCACCTTCCCAGACCAAGTTGTTCTTGTAACAGCATTTTCTCCAAAAGCTTTATTTTAGGAAAACAGCCCTAGCCATGACACATTGTGTGTGTGTGTGTGTGTGTGTGTGTGTGTGTGTGTTGGTAAATTGAGCTTGAATTCAGGTATTGGGTTTGAACTCAGGGCCTGAGTTGTCCCTTAGCTCTTTTGCCCTAGGGTGGCACTCTACCACTTGAGTCACACAGTTCCACTTCTGGCTTTTTGATGGTTAATTGGAGGTAAAAGTGTCACAGACTTTTTCTATCCTGTCTGGCTTCAAATTGTGATGGTCAGATCTCAGCCTCCTGAGTAGCTAGAATTTAGAGGCATAAGCCACCAGCTACCATTAAGTTTTATAGCACATCTAGTTCATGAGCAGTCTGGGTGACATGCAGCCCTTCTGCTGAGAATCAGGCTACACCTCTCAGTACTTCTGGAGGAGCATCTGCAGAAGCATTCAAGAAGAACAGGTAAGGCTTGAAACAAGCCTTGTTCACCTGCAGAGGTGCTTCTGGAAAGACATGACAAGATGCACTGGGTAAGAAAACTGATTGGAAAAGTTAAGACTTGAAAAGCTCTGTGTTCTTAACATGAAGTATTCTGATGCTGAGGGCAAGGACTTGCTGGAAGCATGTGCAGCAGGAAAAAGATCTTGAGAAACGGGGTTCCTTTTTTTGTCTTGGACAGTTGAGCCTACCAGAGGCCAAGAATTGCCTTCCAAATCCTCATTAATGAGCTGGTAAACATAAACTCAAATATGACTTTTGTTGTAGTTGTATAGTTAGTTGACTGACTGTCATTCTAAGAAAATCCTAAATTGACCTTCCAGGTGTAAAAGAACAGAATGAATATAGGAGCAAATCTGTGTCCTCTGCCATTTTGTTGCTCCTTAGTTCGATGAAGTCTAGTACAAACATTAACAATCCTGCTTTTCTCACCTTGAATTCTAATTCTTTACTCAGTTAGCTGCCCCTTAAAAATAGAGTAATAGGATAATTTCAAGAGCCGGGTGCCAGTGGCTCACGCTTATAATCCTAGCTACTCAGGAGGCTGAGATCTGAAGATTGCAGTTCAAAGCCAGCCCAGGCAGGAAAGTCCATGAGACTCTTATCTCCAAAAAGCCACTCAGAAAAGTAGAAGTGGCACTATGGCTCAAGAGGTAGCACACTAGCCTTGAGCTGAAGAGCTCGGGGACAGCGCCCAGGCCCAGAGTTCAAGCCCCACGACCAACAAAAAACAACAACAGCAACGACAAAACACTTCACAAGGACCTTATTTTTACAACAAAGCTTCTTTGTTTATGTGCACGCATGCATGCGTGCAACATGTGCACTAGCACTGGGACAAGATGAACTCAGCCTGGGTGCTGTCCCTGAGCTTTTGTGCTCAAGGCTAGCCACTTGTGCCACAGTCAGCTTCCTGCTTTGGGACAGTTAATTGGAGATAAGAATCTCATGGACTTTCCTCCATTCCCAGGCCAGCTCTGAACCAAGATCCTCAGATCTCAGCCTCCTGTCTAGCCAGAATTATAGGTGGGAGCCACCAGTGGGAGCCAAAGCACCTTTGTTTTATACTGAGAATTAAAATGGCCACGCAGATAAGCAGTTCTGTTGCGTAATTGATGTGTTTTCCTTCTGTGAGAGAAACTGAACAGTTGTGATTACTTGGTAGAGTTAGCCTCTGCCTAGTGAGCACTGTCCTGTCCAGGAATCATTTGATTAGGCAGAGATGGTGCCATTCAACACCTATTTTACTAATAGTAAATTCTGTCAAATCAATTTTGATAGTGTCTCATCTGATCACTGATGATTTCTCTTTCCCTAGTTCCCATATGAACCCCATGCTGATCCTTAGGTCTATTTTCTACCTAGTTACATCACCTTCAAAACTAGGTTCATAGAGAGGGTCTTTAATGAAATCTCAAATCTTAGCTGGGCGCCTGTGGCTCACGCCTATAATCCTAGCTACTCAGGAGGCTGAGATCTGAGGATCACGGTTCAAAGCCAGCCTGGGCAGGAAAGTCCATGAGACTCTTATCTCCAATAAACCACTAGAAAACCGGAAGTGGCAAGTAGCTCTGTGGCTCAAGCTGTAGAGCGCTTGCCTTGAGCTGAAGAGCTGAGGGACAGCACCCAGGCCTAGAGTTCAAGCCCCATGACCGACAAAACAAAACAAAACAAAAAACAAACAAAGAAATCTCAAATCTTGACCTGTGGAAAAACACGTATGGCAAATAATAATTTATAATAGAGTTGTGTCCTCTTTCTGACCATGCCTTCCTCATTGTCTTAATTGCTGGTATTCTTAATGATTCCCCTTTCTGGAGCAAGGAGCTAAATCTATATTTTAAGCATGAGTGAATATAGTCATGATATTCAATATATATATGAAAATGGCATCAGTAACTTGAAGGGATGGGTGGGGTTGGGAGAGACAGGAGGTGAAGGGAATAGTACTTCTAAACTGACATGTCGAGTTGATACTCCTTTGTACCATACTTAAAAATAGTAAAAGTTATATATAATCTATTTTACTGCCAATAATATGTCTTTCGCTTACAATATTAAACCTTTTCTATTTAACATACATGATTTTATACCATGTGTTTATAGTTCATACCTCTATTTTATCTCTAAAAGTAATAAAAGAGTATCTTTATAGATTTACACTGTGCTATCTCTGTGTTCATATAAAAATTACGTTTACTAAATATACCTTATTTTTTCATGCCATTCTTTAAATTACTTTTTAATATTAATGTATTCAAAAGTATATTATAGGGCTTCCTATTACATGGCCCAGGAATCCACCATTCTATAGTTACCATGTATATAGAAACAGATCAATGACTTATTAGATAAATTATATGTGGGTATTATGTTAATGTGTTTCATTAATATTTGAAAATCCTTACCTTAATTTTGGCTCAGCCAACAGAAGTTCAAACTTGTTTCAGCCTCATAAGACTGGTACTATGCAGAAAGTACTATGTAGAAAAATTTGAACTTTCAGAGATGCTGTTGCAGACAGTTTTATCAGATCACATAGTTGTTGAGTGCATATGTATCCTTATGAATGTAAGTGAAAGAAAACAGAAACTAGAAAGCCTGTGTAGTATGACTATTAAAAGTGTAAAGTTTTATGCAGTTTTGCATTTGGTTTTGTACAGGCGGAAATACTGAGTGTCCTCAGTCACAGAAACATCATCCAGTTTTATGGAGTAATTCTTGAACCTCCCAACTATGGCATCGTCACAGGTACGAACTCATGATTTGCCTTCTTTCTTTCCCCAATTACCTAGCTTTAGATTCCTTAATATGCTAAAATGCTTAATATCAGGTTCAGTCATGAATTGTGTGCTACTGTCAGATGTCACTTTTGTTGCCATAAAGCATTAATAAAACTGATTATATCAATATAATTAAGAATGGTGTTTCCACTTCTACCCATATTTAATTGTGCTAATTATATCTGTGTAAATGCTATTTAAATGCACTTGCAGCTGCAATGCCAATATTTAAAGGTGTCGTTTAACTAAAATTTCATTTAATTACTTGAACTGTGAGATGTTTTTTGTTACTCTGTGACCTTTTATAAATTAAGATTTCTTGAGCTGTTCCAGTTGTAATTCTTTGCAAGGCATATTACTCCCATTAGAGCATTCTTTCCTCAAGGTCTCCTATGTGAGAACAATATTTTTCAGGTTTGGTCATCTGAGCTGATAATGACCTTCAGCTAACTTATCACATAATTTGGAGCCAGAGTTTTTAAACAGATGAAAATACTTTTCCAAAAATGAGTGCAATAAAATTTTTCTACACAAAAACACAGAACACATACTTTTAACATTTCATGCTTGTTTTGTATAATCCGATGAGTACTTTTGTTTCATTTTAAATTAAATAAGTTTGATTACATTCTTTGTCATGGAGGTTCTTCAATTAAATCAAAAACAAACAAGAAAACCCTTAAAATAGTCAATCTATTTTCTTCCATGGTAGAGATAAGAGCTTATGTTGTTTATAGAAAACAAATAAACAATACAATCACAGTAGAAATAATTATCTTGGGAACTTTTCATATGCAGTTATCTTACCCAACACTTAGAATAACACTATGAGATAGGTAAAGCCATTTATATTTTACTTTTGGAACTCTAACTTAAGTAGTTTCCCCATGATCAACTGCCAGTGGCAAAAACAGAGTGGCACAATTTTGTCATGTTGCTTTTTTCTTGAATGTCCTCTTTCATGTAGTCAGGTTCTGGAAGGCGGGGGCTCTCTGTTTCATGGTTATGTCTTTTCTGATACTCTGGTGGTGTGTACATTCACATGCATTGGTCTTTAGTAGTAGGTTCTTAGATGGGGGTCTTTCACATCCATTTCCTTTTTTTAGATCTGCACTGGAAATGGGGGATATGGCAATTTTTGTCTTAAGCCTGCTATGTCTTATTAATTACTATAAATACCCCTTCATGGATCGTATTTTAGGGGAAACCTTATCTGATCTTTCATATCAGATTTCTGGTTTAAAGTTAAGTCTTTCTCTGGCTTAGTTATCTTATGACTCTTTCCCTCAAGTCCATCATTTTTTAGTTTTTCCTTGTTAATGTTTATTTTCTAGTTCTGAATTCAGTTTTCTGATCCTCATTTGTGGTTGGTATTATTCTTCTCTAACAGATATTGCTCCTGTATAACAATGAGATTAGAAACTGCTTCTCTGCTCTTATACCTTGAGGCTTAATGATTTGGAAAAGGGGATTTTAGCAGAACTAAATCCATGGGTTGTTCATGGAATTTTCTAGTTTTTTTGTTTACTTGTTTGTTTGTTTTTCTTGAGGGGGGGAATGAAGAATAGAAAAGGAGACTCAAGTCCCTTTTCCAAGAATCTTCTCTCAGTCCTGAGGCAGATGTGAAACACATTCATTTTTAGCATATTTTATCTGAGTCACCTCAACAGAGAGGGGGGAAGTGAAGGAGGGAAGGAGAATCCCAGTCATTTAATGAGTAAGCTTGATATTATTTAATATTCTCATATGATTAGTCAGTCCTTTATTTCCTGCATCTCTTCATCACTTCCTGCTTCTACCTGAAACTACCAATTTGTTTGTTGTTGTTAAATTGGTCATTTCTTTAGTATAGATTTGTATTTGTTTCCCTGTAGAACTGGTAAGTAGCCAATAGCTGGCATATTGTATGTGTGCCTATCCTGGGACTTGACTCAGGGCCTAGGTGCTATTTTTGAGTTTTTTTTTTTTTATCAAGGCTATAGCATTCTACTACTTAAGACACAGTTCTACTTCTGGCTCTTGTGGTACAATCTGGAGAAAAGAGTCTCACAGACTTTCTTGCCTGAGTTGGCTTCAAACCATGATCCTCAGATCTCAGCCTCTTAAGTATCTAGGATTACAGGTGTGGACTTCCAATGCTTGGCTAAATTGCTGATATTACTTAAACAGCACCAGTTATGAATTATGATGTGATAAAAATTATTCTTTTAAAGCTTTCTTATTGGCCTGTGAAGTTGATTATTAAAAAGAGATCTACTAGCCAGACTTTGATGTTTTAAATTAAATTAATATTATTTATATTCTTAGAAATATAGATTTGTTTGTTGGTTGGTTGGTTGGTTTTGCCAGTCCTGGGGCTTGAACACAGGACCTGGGTGCTGTCCTTGAGTTCATGGGGTATTTTTGCTCAAGTCACAGATCCACTTGTGGCTTTTTGGTGGTTAATTGGAGATAAGAGTATTATAGATTTTCCTAACTGGGCTGGCTTTGAACCTGCCTCCTGAGTAACTAGGATTATGGTGTGAACCACCTGCATCTGACTGGTTTAACTAGATGTTTGTTTAGTCAAACTTTTTCAGCGAACTTTCTGCAGTGTTAGGGCAAAGCCTATTCTATGCAGTATCCATGCCAACCATGTTGAGTTTGGGGTTGAAATGACCAAGAAAGCTAGGAGCAGTGGCACTTACCCTACCTCTTGAATACATGTAAATCTTAATGTGAAGTGGCAGGCAATGGACCTTGTGATCAAGGTCAGCTTAACCTAGATAACCTTGTATGAACCTCCTCATCTGTGTCAGATGTCAGAGACCTGGAGGGAAGACTTTGAATGGCTTGAGTTGAACTTGGATTTTTTGTTTGTTTGTTAATAGAGAACATTGTTGGAGTCAAGAGCTATTGTCACTCAATTCTGAGGACTCAAAAGTATGTTATCAGAATGGTATGGTGGAAAGAACATTGGAATAGGAATTGGAAGTTGGGAGACCGAGTCTTGACTCTGCCATCTTCTCAGATGGGCTCTCATATGAGAATCTCCTTATGTTTCAGATTTTGAAGCATATATAGCAGTTTGAGGAATGTCTATGGTCGAAAGCCTGCTGAATTGAGGGTAGTAGTGAGAATCAGTAATATTCTTGCCCAGGTTTGTTTTCATTCCTCCTCTGCTTTCACGATGGCTCAGTCAGCAGAAGGGCAGGCTGTGAGGACTGGCGTCTTTGCTACTATAGTTGAAGAGTGCTTGCCCTAGAACAGTGCCTAATCCCACCTCTACAGCATTGGTAAGGGGACTTAGAGACTGCCAGCAGCCTTATCAGCCTGAACTCATGGATGTGATTGGAATAAATATATGCCTCGCTGAAGGTTACATTTACACATTTACATATATGTAAACCAGAGAATAGAGAGATACTGAGTGTTCATACACTACTTATACATCTTGAGCTTGTATATTTTTTTATAGAGAAAAAAAAGGTCCATGGAAAGTAAAAGCCAGGACACAGGTAAAAACAGCCCAATCCCTGAAGGTGCCTTTGTTACTTTCATACTCATTTACAGCCAAGGGTATTTGACCAGAAGTCCTATCTAACCATTGGCTGATAGTAACCTCTGTGGATAAAAGATAGCAGCTAAAAGGCTAGGCTTATAAATCAAAACAATATTTGAAAAAAAAGAAGAAAGGAAAAAACATAAAACACTGAAAGCAGAGACAGTGTAGGGACACACTGTAAGGGAAACAGGTTTAATAAGATTCACCCAAGCAAATAAAATCAGAAAAAACATTAGGAGGGTAAAGTGAGAATCTGGAGTTGCTGTGATAAATTATTTAAACTGTCCAGCTAAAGAAAACCTGGGTAAAGAGATAGGAATGTGTAACTACATTCAGGATTAAAAGCTGCCAATGGAAATAGGCCTGTAGTGTCCCTGGGTATAAATAGATGAAGCTTTCCAAACAGTGTGTTCAGAGAACTAAAGAAAACCATGGTGAAAGAAATAAAGGAAAATCTGAAAAACACGACTTAACAAACAGATAACATCAGGTGTGCAGAAATTATTATTTTTCTAAAATGGACTCATTAGAAATTCTGAAAATACGAAAGAATAATTAGACATAAATTTTCTGGAATGACTTAAGTTTCAGAGAGCAGAAGAAAAACCTTAAGGGGTTTCAATTAAATGAATAGAAATTTATCTAATTCAAATGGAGAAAGCATTTGAGGAAAGTTAAAAATCCTGAGTCCAGCAGGATATTAAATATACCAACTAATGTATAATAGGAAAGAGAGGAGAAAATAGAAAAATATTTGAACAAGTAATAGCCAAAAAACATTTCTCAATTGAGTAAAATATATGAATCTGCATATCTGAGGAGCACAACAAACCCTGTGCAGAAGCTAGATGCTGGTAGCTCACACCTGTAATCTTAGCTAGTCAGGAGGCTGAGATCTGAAGATTGTGATTCAAAGCCAACCTGGCAGGAAAGTCTTGTGAGTCTCTCCAGTTAACCACCAACAAACTAGAAGTGGTGCTGTGGCTCAAAGTGGTAGAGCATAGCCTTGAGCACAAAGAGCTCAAGGGCAGTGCCCAAGCCCTTAGTTCAAGCCCCATGAATGACAAAAAACAAAAACAAACAACTACCAAACACTAAGTAGGATAAGTGCATGTGACCTCATACACAAACCACAAACTGTTGATAAAGACAAGGTAAAATCTTGAAAGCAGCAACATAATATAATAATAATATAATCAATGGCTGACTTCTCTTGTACAATAATGGAGACCAGATTGAAATAAACTGACATTTTAGGTGCTAAAAGAAAAAAATCCAAAATTATCTTTAAAAATTAAATTAAAATGTATTATTGGATAGAAAATTAGATCATTTGTAGCTAGCAGATGTGGATAGGTTAGAATATGTTCTTGGTGAGCAAGCAGAAGATTCCAGGCTTGATCTCTTATATGAAAAAGAGAGAA